TAAAAGGACATCAATAGGAAGTAAAAGGAAATCAATAGGAAGTAAAAGGAAAGCAATAGGAATTAGAAGGAAGTCAATTGGAATCAAAAGGACATCAATAGGAGTTAAAATAAACTCAATATGAATTACTGTAAAAGGACATCAATAGAATGTAAAAAAAAGAAACACGAGAACCTAAAAAAAGACGTCTTTAAACAAAGAGAGCATCAAAAAAAAGCGGAAAGAACACTTAACAAAAACACACAACTAAACTAAACAAACTATCGAACAAAAAACAAAAGACAACATATGCATACATTTTTCGGGGGGTTATCAATCCAACCAAAAAATCTGCAGACATTATTCTGGGAGGGGATACTAATTGGCAGTCAACATTAAGGCGGTTTTGTTTGGATCTGGACATATCCTTTATGCAGGTCATGTCTGTGGGGAAAGACGATGTGTTGCCGAACATTCAGATCGCAACTCTAAGGAGACGAAAGATGCTCTCCCACCACACCTTCCAGAGCTATGCCACTCGGTTCCTTTTCAGTGCAGACAACTACCATACGGCAAGCATACTTACTCGGGGTCGCCTATGTGTTCAAGTCTGTCAGTCCGTTTTCTCACCCTAATGGCGTTGATGGGGCGGTGAGATTGCCACCATGCTCGACTTGGGATGGGCAGCCACCAGTTGAGCCTCGAAAAATGATGTACCTGGCCCAGCCGGCAGCCTCCAGCCCATCCCAACAGTGTTGGTGCGACCGGTACGTTGCTAGAATTGGTGAAGCAGTCTGTTGATGTTTTGCTGAAGATATTAGCCAATCTGGGTTGGTGGGTGGTATATATATATATGTGCATGGGATATACCATCATAATCATATAATATATCAAGTACTGCCTAGTCATTTGTTTTGTATGGAGATGTGCTTTTGCCTCTCCTTGAATGATGCAGGTTTGTGCCTATCAATACCACGGTGCCTGTTTTGCTATATAATAAATAAATTTAGATGATGTTAGATGTACAGATGTACATGTCTAGATTCTAGATCTTGTATGTCCTTTTCCACCTTGGATTGGCTTGGGATCTTCATGGATCTTTCATGGATCCCGGTCAAGTGGTGAGTTAAACACTGTGAGTTTCTTGCGAGCTGCCCGGGCGAACCCATCACTGAGACATGCCATTCTATCCGCCAAATCCTCCACAGCATGGGGCCGGCGACCCTCCTGGGGGGCGCGAGGGCGGCCGCACCCGCGCCGCACGGCGCTGTTCGGTTCTTTGAGGCGCTGAAGGGCCAGACGGGGGTGCCGATGTTCTTTGGGATTCCTGGCAATGTGACCTGGGCATTAAGCGTCGGTCGAGTTCCCGGTCGAGTTCCTGTGAGGTTTGAGGCAGGGTCATCGGCCATAGCCATAATGGGCCTACCAAAAACCGCAATCCCAGGCTGTTGGATGGACAGATGGGATGGTATTTTTTGATGATAAGAAGGGGCGGTTCCTGCTGATTCTGTGGTCCACTGTGCAGACGATCGACGCATTTCGTTTGGAACAACAGAGTTGGTGCTTTTATGCGCTTTTGCTTTGAAGAAGATGCCATGGATACAGAGTGTTGGGATTGCGAGCCGAGGCTGAAAGTTGTTGGGATACGCGTGTCCTCAGGACGAGGGTAGATGGTGCAGTGCATGTCTCAACTCGAGCTACTCCATGTCATTTGTACTGTACTATGTGGTTCATTCTGGTAGACAGCCCAATGCCCTCACAGATGCATACAGAAGCACTATATACCGCTATTATGGTATTTTTTCATCTTTTTTCAACATCGCACATGTAGGCGCTGTTACAAGGACTGGGCTGCCAATGGTTCGTCCGACTGTCGATCTTTAGTTCCCCGAAAACTTCATACCCGCTGCAAGCTGCGCTGCGACGACATCCATGTCACGCGTTGACATCCATGTCAAGCCGGCGTCTTTCTGGGGGTGTTGGCTGAGAGTTTCTATACTTTGACTATCTTTGATACTCCATGATACTCCATGATACGTTTGACCAACAGATTTCTTGTGATGCATGATTCCATGATCACTTCTTGTTTGACTTCTTGTTTGGTGGGTTGCGATGGGCCGATGGGATTCCGTCAAGTCTACGTTCAGGTCCGGTGTTGGAGAGGTCAGATGGATCTTACGCTTACTTGTTTTAGCTTATTTTCTTTACGTGGTCAGGACAGTCAGATTGCAAAGTCCTCTTCTTGAAGTTCAGTTTCAGAGAGTGAGAGAGGGGGTGACTCAAGAATACGTCACTGGACCTTCCGGGGTATTTTGGTGCCTTTTTTTTCGTGCCAGAATCCCTCGTGCTCTTTGAGGTGTCCAGGAGATCAAGGAAGTCAGCGCTGGACAAGGGGGGTGATGCTGCTGAACCTGAGGATTCTGCGAGACCAATACAAGAAGTACCAAGAGGATCCTCAGTCCGAGGGATTGTTGCTGGTGCTTTTGCTGCCCGACCCCATCCGACCATCCCAAAAAAACTGAAACCCGGACTTGTTGTTGGTGTGACTGGTTTCAAGGTTGGTTGGATTGGATCGCGGACGTCACATCCAATAGCACTTCTTGAGCCCGGGACTTGGGGGGGCACCACCTCATCCGAACTCCGCCCCACAGATCTTAGACCATCCAGAGGACTAGAAGAGTTGCCAGGTACATAAACTGGGTGTGTTGTTTTATTAAGGAGACCCCTCACCCATGGGTTTTGGTATGTTCCTTCTTCAAGATCTTCAAGGTTATGACCCGGAGAATCGCAGCTTGTGGTTGACCAGACAATGATTTCACTACACCAGTGCAGCGGACAGTCCGAGAAATCTGGGTCCCCTTCGACCTGGGTGAGGCAGACCATGTAACCCAGACACGACCCGTCTGGGACTGCCAGTCCGTTCTGCCGCCCCAGACAGACCCCCCCCAATACCACCGCCCCTGGCCGTTTTGAAGGCAGTCCGACATGGCAGTCCCAGACGGGTCGTGTCTGGGTAAGTCATTAATGAACGATCTTCCGTACGGTGACTCATCCGAGGTTCGATGGCAAGTTCTAAGGGCGCCCTAAAGGCCAGGGTGGAGGACGTAGTGGAGGAACCCCCCATAACGGAGCAACGTTCAAAACCTATAGGTGTTCATATGTCGATATATGTCGTAAGGACATGGTCATTAAGGACCCAGGTGCGCACGCAAAATACCTGATTTGCCTGAGACATCATTGGGTGCCGGTGCCATTGCTCACCTCTGAAACCACTGTACGTGGATGGCCTGGGGGGATGGACGGGCGTCCAACATCGAGCCCAACCTCGGCGTCTGTTCAGCACGGCCTGGGCTCGTCACGGTGTGGATCCTCACGGTGTGGCTCGTCCCTACCCAGAGACGTACTCCATGATACTCCATTGAACTCCCATAGATTTGCCAATGAGTTGGGGTGTTGGGTGTTGGGGAATGAATCGAATGAACGTGTGTGTAGGCGTTCTGGTCTTGTCCAGTGTCCACTTGAAGTGTCTTGGGTCTCCAGGACTTCTTTGAGAGTAGCGACTTCTTCGGTTCCTTGTCCTCCTCCACGGCGGTGCTGCTGAGCTTCTACCGCGATGCCCGCGAGCAGCTGGCGGAGCTGCCGGCGGACCTGTGCCGTGGCGTGTGCGGGGGAGCGGCTGGACCGGGAGGAACCAGGATCCGTTCATGGGTTAGATCTTGCTGTATCACTGTATCATGCGATATCAGGTGTACCAAAAAAATATCAAAAAATCATGTCGATTCATGTCGTTATGTTCTCCAATAAACATCACTGCTAGAAGAGGTTTGTCTGCAGACTCATAAACATCATAAACCATCCCATGAATGGATATATTAAAAGTCCTCTTCATGTGAGGCCGGGCGCGCGGGTCCCCCGATGGTCCCCGAATAGAAGGCGTGTCGGAGACGAAAGACGGAGGTCGGAGTCCTTCCGCACCATTGATGTTGTGGATGTTGACAGAAGAAGTGAAGAAGGATTATACACATAATATTTATTCGTTTATTATGCAATAATTAGTATATATGTTACATTTTTAAAAAAAGATAGTAACTATAATAACCATTGTGTTGCTAGAGATCTTTGACCAAAACGTTTTTGAAAAGCGTTTGTCCAATTTGTTCCAAAGTTCTGTTCTGAAGCAAGTTGAAGCAGGGTGGACGTGCACAGTGAGCAGTACCCCCAACAGCACAGGTTTGCACCCAGCTCTGAAAGATGCTCGTTCATTGATATGGTAGTTGGTGACTGGGATATATATATATATATGTAGCTGAAAAGGAACATTTAAAAGGTGCATCGTGCTGAGATTGGGCTGAACCTAGTCCCTTTCACCCTTGAAAGTAGACGAACCTGAAAGCGTTTGAACAACCATGGGTTTCTGATGGTTTGTGAAGGAACATGAGCAGGTTTGTCCAAGCTCCATATTCAATGGGTGAAAGATCATAGCCCACAACCAGACCCCGAGCCACCACCCAAAAGATGGTTGCTTCATATTGTTGTGTGTTGCAGTGCTGCCTTTCATCATCCCATCTCGACCGAAAACCCCCCCCAAACCCACCGGTACCACCTGCGCGACCCGCCTATCACCCGCTGCGACCCGCTCTCGCAAGGTGTACGACACAGTTCTACAACCTCTCGTATCCGGCGAGCATCACACATTTTGCGGGCATCAACTGCGATGCCGATATCTTGCCCTACTTGGACTCTTGGATGCCAACAGAGGTGACCCTCGGACTCCTCGGACCCGCATCTCCGAGAGTCCGGGGTAGTTGCACTAGGAGAGTCGAACGTTCGGGTTCTGAAGAAGCTCTGCTGGAGGAAGAAAGACCCTTTGTTTGTGTTTCTTTTTGTTGCACGCATGCCTTGCGCCCACAGAAAAGAGTGACCATGAAAACTCAGACTGTGGGGATGAGGAGTTGGGTTCTGTTCGGTGTACGGGTCTACCAGACAATCAAGGGGGGGGTGCAGGCATTCACTGACCAGGTCGCCTAGGGATGTGAAGGGGTGATTTGCCCGGCTTCCAGAAACTAATGTGGACTACAGTAGGATTACATGTATAATTATATACTGTAGACTCTTGATTAAACCCCCCATGTCATGAAGAGGTTGTTCAATCCAACTAGGGGTGGGTTTGTAATCAAGAGTCTAGATTACATCGTGAAGTCTTATTTTGGTCTCCACAACATCTCATGGTCTTAAAGAGAGGGGACTTCACAGCCCTTCTCTTTTCGCCCATCCCTGGTCTGTACCACAGACCAGGGTTCCTATATGGTCCCCACAACATCAGCTTGGTCCCTCAGGAGTCCGGCCGCGTGGTCTTCGAGCCCTATCGGAAGCGCTTGAGCAAATGCGACGACACGGCGGCTCGGACCGTGGTCATCCGCCGCTCAGGGGTCACTGGACACGGGAAGAGGATGGAAGAGGTAGGAACAGGTAGGTCAACCCAGGCAAGTTAGCAAGGCCAGAAGGTCAACCCAGGTCGCTCTCCTGGTTTTGAAGCACAGCCATTTGGCAGCGACCGGTTTCCCTTAGGGAAGATCGCGATGAAGATGTCGGCCGGTTTTTGAAGGAGACACATCCTCTTGAAGAGGTCAAAATGACGGCCCAGTGACGTGTCGAAGTCCGTCTTTTGCGTGCTGAAGAGCCATCGGATCTAACATCAAGCAAGGGCCTTGCTGCAGACTGGATGACAGTTGGGTTAGCAGGAAGATGTTCGTTCGCAAGGGGCGCTGTTTGGATTGGTAACGAAAGCAAGGGAAGTATAAATAGACAAGGTATTGAGTGTTTTCCCTGCTGGAGAGGCTCCTTCTAGCGGGCATCTACAGGGAATCGTCCAAACAAATCTAATTACACGATGAGAGGCGAGAAACTCAGGACTCCTGCAGCTATGCACAGAGACCAACTGCAGTGGGGCGCTTTCAAGCTGTGCGTTTACATACATTGCGAAGCATTTGGGAATAGCGTGAGTGAGCGTTCCTAGACCGACCGGCGTTCTTCACCATGTGCTTAAGAACAGTTGTTCATGCTCGCCAGCATCCCCGATTGGCCTGGTACAAATATTTCCCAGACACTCCATGTATGCCATATATGTCTACATTGGGGTGGTTTGAGGGGTCAATGTAGGCATATATGGCATACATGGAGTGTCTGGGTTTGGATTTAAGCCATGAGTCCATGAGTCTTGGTTCGGGGTTGATCCACACAGACTTTCAACCATTGGTTCGGGAACCTTCGGCACGCCCAGTCAATGGTTGGGCGTGCCGCCCTCGACTTCACCGGGTCTGAGAGTTCTGAAAGGTTCTGAGAGGTTCGAGATGCTTGTTACAGGTTCTCCATTTCACTAGGTTGTCTTTACCAGCTCCCACAGCTTTGTCACGCAGTCCAGATGTCATTCCAGGATAGCTGCCGAAGCATTTGCGAAAACTACACCAAGTATGTGCTGGCGTAGGTCGTTGCTCTTGGCAAGTGTCGGAGAAAAGTTAGACCGCATCGGGAGAGGTGGAAATTCTTGCTGTTTGCAGCTGTGCTGGACGTTTACACCATTGTATCTACTGTATAGATGTACATAGTTCTGGAATGTTCTGGAGTATGTAAAAATATATAGAATCAGATATCAGCGATAGGACATGCAAAACTTTCAAGAGTATGGTGGGCACGGTTGTGTTTCGCTCACGTGCTGGAGTGAACGTGGCGAAAAAAAGACCACAGGTTTGAAATTGTGTTTGACGGCTCGAAGCCTGCTGGTTGTAGCCAGACTAGACCTCTTAAGTCATGTTGTAAGATCAGACCCTGAGGTCCTGCAAGGAATTTGGCTCTCATGAAATAATGTGGCTGATGAGTACCACTTCATTCTTAGGGATCATCGATTTGTTCCCCTGCTGTTGAGTTGATGGAAGAACTCTTGCACCGGGTGGCATGTGGAAAACCACCATATTTACCGTGCTGGGGGGGGGCAAGGGAGGCGGTTCAGGATGACTCCTGCATCTCCCACCTATGAAAGTGAAGAGGATTCCTCCTGCCTTCCACTTCCAGCTCAGGAATCTGAAACGATGATATAGTTTTTTTTTTTTCCAAGCATGCGTCAAGAGAACATTGTAGTATGCACAATCATGTAATATAGCACGAAAAAGCCTCACCAGAGAATGCAAGCAACTTCAGCATGCTTGAGTGATCAACTCTGACACACATTCAGATTAGGATCAGCTCAAGTACTGGTTGGAGTGATTGGCTTAGCCATGGTGATGACCACTTCAGCAAGGCAGTTGGGAGGACATTTGGACGGCGATTGCGGGAAGGGAGGTGAAGCGCCTCAAAGAAGTGCAGCTGAGCTGGGACGACGCAAGACGACTGGGGTGAGGATGTTTGAGAGAAGCCTCTTGGCAACGGTGAGTATGTGGCAAACGCAGCGCGGTCCGATAGAGAGTCTAAAGATGACTCGCTTGTCTTCCAACAAAACATGTCGACATTGTCCAACAAAGATGCAATCGCCGCCGCTAGCAGCTAGAGGCGAATTGGAAGACTCAAGTCTTTCGCTCATTGTTGAAATCCCGAGGGATGAAGCCCAAATTGCAGCAAAAACGTTCTAAGGCTGCAACATGTTGGCCAAATTGATCATCCCAGACTCAGTCACTCACATTGGCCATGGGCCATGGTGCCTTTAGCGATTGCAGCTCTTTGGTCAGCTTGACATTCCGGACTCAGTGACTGAAATCGGGCAGAGTGCCTTTCAGGGTTGCATCTCTAAGACGCTAAGAGAAGTGCAAACCCTGAAACGCACTCTGCCGAACCTGACCATCCCAAACTCAGTGACCTGCATTAAGCCTGCTGCCTTTCTGAATTGGAGCTCGCCAATGAACCTGACAATCCCGAACACTCACATTGAAGATGGTGCCTTTGAGGGTTGCAGCTCTTAGACTCAGTGACCTACATGGAGCATATTCAAGGGTTGCAGCATGTTGCAGCTCTTTGTCAAGTTGGTGAGGGCTGCCCTTCGACAAAACGAATGACATGCAATCTACTGTACTCTCCCTGGAACTAACATGCCAGTTTCCACTTCCATATTAGTTCCAGGGAGTGTAAATTCTGTAATGTATCCCGAGTGACTAGCGCTTGGCGCCGTAGAAAAGGCCACGTCCTGCGTCGACTGGGTCGACCGCTGTCCAAATTGGTGAGCCGAACTTTTACCAACCGGCATGAGGTGGTCCAAACAATTTCGGCCATTGGCCAAGGCTTACCACTGGCTTTTGACCTTTTGACCTTCACTTACCTATTGGCTTTTGAGGGGTCTTTGATTTTTTTTAGGTGGTCCGAACCACCATGGACCCGTGGTATCGCTTTTTGCGGTGTTTTCTGCAGGGACCCTGCACCGGGTCGTTGGGGCAATGTGCCAGGTCTGCTTGTGGCTGTCTTTGGTGGACTCCAGCGTGTTTTGGGGCGGTCTCCAGGTATGCCAACAACGGTTGAAGAACCCGAACTAGGCTATCCCATAGGCACTCCATGTGACGGGTCCTAGTTCAGGTCACTTAACCCCTCTTGGTGATGGTCTTGGCATAGTTGGAAGATCCAGGTATGATGTCCGCCACCAAAACGAACCAACTAAGTGAGCCCCACCAACCCGATTGTCCCGATTTGCGCAACTCGACCAACCCGGGTTCGATCCACACGAACTGGTTCGATCTATAGAGGTCTAGTTTGACCCAGTAAAACCGGGTCCTAAAATAGTGTTTTTGATGGTTCTTGTATTCAAACCGATTCAAACCTCAGAAAAAATGTGGTCAAACTGACCAGGGTTTCGATCCGATACTTGCCCAAACCAGGACCCGACCACTTCGCAGGGACGGACGCTCTATAGCAGGGGGTTAGACCCTTATGCCACCCTGTACATTTGCTAGGGTGGTAGAGATTTCATCACAATGATATGGCTGTGGGTCAAAACCAGGAGCCCTTGGTTGACCTACCTTGAAGGTCAAGCCACATGGTGGACTGGTTGGGCTACAGATTTTGACCCGATGTAGAGTTTGGATACTCTTTTCTATGGCATCTTTATGCATCTCATTGCATCTCTATACTGCTCTATACCTCTTTGACACTTTGACATCTCTTGACCTGGCATGGCCACCGGTTTTGTCGGGGTCTTGATCGGTCAGGGAGAGGTTCCCACGTCGGTCAGTCTAACACTGAACGGTGGTTCCGTCAGAGGACACTCCAACAAGTAGAACGAAGAACGCCCAGACCGGACACCCCATGTTACGGAAGAAAAATGCCTACCACAATAGAACTCTATATAGTGAGTTCTATAAGTCACTCAGGTTGGTAGATATAGGTCATAATTGAGTCATAGTGGAATATACAACCTATACTGACATAGACCCTTGGGCCGGCCATCACCCACTTTCTTGTCGAAGCAGGGGTCACGTTTGGGCTCTACATTTGGTAAATGGATCAACAATTTTTTTGTTCTTGTACATCCCTTGGCACCTTTGAACAACCCACTAGGTGTGAATTCACACTTCCCATTCATCAAAACATCCTACATCTATTGCCTTCACCGTGTCATGACACCGTGTCACCCGTGAACCCCCGTGTCACCCGTTCGTCCGGAACTTCACCACCCACCCACCCAACCGTGTCGTTCGTTCGACACCGACCGAGGCCTCGCGGTCTTGATGTACATCGACACGACCATCGAGCACGACACCACGCGGCGCTTGAAGATCGCCATCGAGTCCTACGCGGAGGACGAGGGGGGCGAAGGGGAGGTGAGCGGAGCCATGGAGTAGACCAGACCCTCCATGGGATCTACAATGGAATGTAGGCATGTATGGGAGTTGAATGGAGTTGATCTAAAGGTCCGTGTAAGGAGTTTTAAATCCAACAACCTTTTGTTGTTGAAACATGTTAAAACCATCTTATGACAGAGTGTTTGGGTATCATTTTGCTTGAGGTTTTCTAGGATTGCTTGGTACGAAATACCTGTATGTGTTTGAGGCGATATATTATTCCGTGCAGCCGAGAGCGTCGCGTGTCTCTGGCGTGCCGGGCATGGCGATTGCAATGCCGCAGGCAACTAAACATGACAAAGAGCTCAGAGCTGCCTTGCCAGCTCACGGGCATACCTCAATGGTTTCCCTCGCAAAAAGTGCCACAAAAAAGTCAGCCACCCGATTTGCCTCATGTTCAGGCCACGGGATTTGAACTGCTTTCATGGGTTTGTGGATCATCGCCGCCGGACGCGCGACACAGCCCCAACTACACTCACGCTGACACGCCGCCATAGTTTCCGAAAAAAGAAGCTCAAGCACCCTAAGGTTCGAGGCCAAAGTACGACCAACCAACTCACCAGCGGCAAGCGTGTCAATGGGCACCCAGGTGCTTTGCCCAGCCCTCATGGTTTGAAGGGGCATAAGTAAACCAGAAAACAAATGAAAACCAATAAAGACCTCCAACAGAGTCACGAAAGGAAAAACAACCGCCGTCCGATCTAAATGGATGATCCACTGAGAAAGTTTAAGACCAAAAATTGACCCAAATCCTGTGAAGAAAGGTCGTTTGCTCAGAGCAGCCTCCACATCAACAGGAAAACATTCTGTCCAGTCATTGCTATGGCATCGCAGATTCAAGTCCAGCTGATGCAGGGGATCCGTGTCATCCTCTTCTTCATAGCCGTCCGGCCGTGAAGCTAAACTGTGTTTGGCCAAGTGCAAAAGGAAAAGCTGGTGCTGTTTCCCCAAGAACATGTTCTGCTTGTCCTGTTCACGAGCGAGACGAACCCTCTCGCGGAGAACAGTGGAGCCACCTGTGCGCACTGCCGCCTTTGCAGCGCTGTCAGCACAACTGTTGCCGTAGCGGAGCCAGGCATCATGCTCCGTCAACGCCAGTGCGGGGTCAAGGTGGGCAGATACCTTAGTTAGCTGAACAGTGCTGGAGAGTCGCTCCCAGCTGGCCTGAAGTCGCTTCCAGAGATCCTGATTGCGCCACTTAGTCGGTATGAAGCCCTGCCTCATGACATGAGCAAAGCCGTCAAGGGCATACTGTCCAAGCTTTTGAGGCGATATAATATATTATATTACATTAAATATTGCATGTGTTTTCCAGAAAAATCTTCCTCCTCGGGGAATGTTTTTCCCCACCTGCCAGGTGAAGGTTGTTAGATTTTATCACAGTTGTTCTTCCTCCTTCCTCCTTCCTTCCTTCCTTCCTTCCTTGCTTCCTTCCTCGCCAATCTTCATCGCCAATCTGCTTCGCCAATCTGCTTCGCCGAGCTTGTCTGGCAAGCTCCGGATCGCAGTGTGCACCCCTGGACCTCAACCGCAAGGATCCGATCGCAGTGTGCACCCCTGGACATCAACCGCAAGGATCCGATCGCAGTGTGCACCCCTGGACCTCAACCGCAAGGATCCGATCGCAGTGTGCATCCCTGGACCTCAACCGCAAGGATCCGATCGCAGTGTGCACCCCCGGACCTCAACCGCAAGGATCCGATCGCAGTGTGCACCGCTGGACCTCAACCAGATAGTTTGCCAGATAAAATATGCCAGATAGAATGCCAGGTAGATTGCCAGATAGAATGCTGCAAGAAGATATGCCAGATAGTATGCCATTTGTGTGTCAGATAGATTGCTAGATACATTGCCAGATAGAATGCCAGAA